TACGCGTCGTTGACGCCCCTACGCGTCGTTGACGCCCCTACGCGTCGTTGACGCCCCTACGCGTCATGGACGCCCCTACGCGTCGTTGACGCCCCTACGCGTCGTTGACGCCCCTACGCGTCGTTGACGCCCCTACGCGTCGTTGACGCCCCTACGCGTCATTGACGCCCCTACGCGTCATGGACGCCCCTACGCGTCATGGACGCCCCTACGCGTCATTGACGCCCCTACGCGTCATTGACGCCCCTACGCGTCATTGACGTCCCTTCGCGTCATTGACGCCCCTACGCGTCATTGACGCCCCTGCGCGTATCAGACGCCCCTATGCGTATCTGACACCACTACGTGTATCTCACGACCGTACGAGTGTCTGACGCCCCAACGCGTAACTGACGCCCCTACGTGTCATTGACGCCCCTACGCGTCATTGACGCCCCTACGCGTCATTGACGCCCCTACGCGTCATTGACGCTCCTACGCGAACCTATCATAACCTATTAGAACCTATTAGAATCTATCAGAACTTATTAGAACCTATCAGAACCTATTAGAAAATATAAGAACCTATAAGAACCTCTCAGGTAAATTAAGGCATGGGCCTAAATCTGTTCCATAAAAAAGTGAGGGGGTGGTCTAACTTTTTAAGCATTTTACATAGCACGGAATAACCTTGGCATATTATTATCAGCAATAAGTTATGGAACCTTAAATGTTGTTTAAGGTCGTATATTGTCACGTGACCTGTCAGGGCTATTTTTAGCTCAAAATTATTTTTAGCAAAACGGCAACACTTTTAAATATTTTCTGAAAGCTCATGATAGCTTTATGATGTTAGGACTACTAGATACATCATTTCTGTGCTTGGCCATTTTAAGATAATTCGAAATAAAAGTATGAAATACGAAATTACTTTTATAGGGGGACTGGGCACTAGTACAAAATGCCGTTTATTTTCAAAATTAATGAAAAATTTAACAAAGGCCAAGCACAGATCTTTTGTTTTTACCATTTTGATTCATCTTGTAGCAGTGAAATTCAATGTCAATTGGTATAAACTGTTGCCATTTTTGTTCAAAGAGGTTTTTCGATTTTTGTGGCCGTAACAGGTCACGTGACCTAATTTGCATATGTCATCCATGTCAATATGACGAGATTTACAAACTTATTAGTCTGCCAAAGTTTTAGATTGTTAGGATTAAAGCCTCAGAACATAGACCACCCCTTAACTTTTTTAGAGCAAAAATGGGAAGGCCCATGCCTTAATCTTCTTGAGCTATTAAAACATATAAGAACATATCAGAACCTATCAGAACCTATTAGAACTTATCATAACCTTTTAGAACCTGTTAGAACCGATTAGAACCTATCAGAACCTATTAGAACCTATCAGAACCTATTAGAAAATATCAGAACCTATTAGAACCTATCAGAACCTGTAAGAACCTATCAGAACCTATTAGAACGCCCCTACGCGTCGTTGACGCCCCTACGCGTCGTTGACCCCCCTACGCGTCGTTGACGCCTCTACGCGTCGTTGGCGCCCCTACGCGTCGTTGACGCCCCTACGCGTCGTTGACGCCCCTACGCGTCGTGGACGCCCCTACGCGTCGTTGACGCCCCTACGCGTCGTTGACGCCCCTACGCGTCGTTTACGCCCCCACGCGTCGTTGACGCCCCTACGCGTCATTGACGCCCCTACGCGTCATTGACGCCCCTACGCGTCATGGACGCCCTTACGCGTCATGGACGCCCCTACGAGTCATGGACGCCCCAACGCGTCATTGACGCCCCTACGCGTCATTGACGCCCCTACGCGTCATTAACGTCCCTACGGGTGTCTGAGCCCCGTGCGCGTATCTGACACCCCTACACGTATCTGACGCCCCTACGCGTAGCAGATGCCCATACGCGTAGCAGACGCCCATACGCGTATCTGACGCCCCTATGCGTCGTTGACGCCCCTACGTTGACGCCCCTATGCGTCGTTGACGCCCCTACGCGTCGTTGACGCCCATACGCGTATCTGACGCCCCTACGCGTCGTTGACGCCCCTACGCGTCGTTGACGCCCCTACGCGTCGTTGACGCCCCTACGCGTCGTTGACGCCCCTACGCGTCGTTGACGCCCCTACGCGTCGTTGACGCCCCCACGCGTCGTTTACGCCCCCACGCGTCGTTGACGCCCCCACGCGTCGTTGACGACCCTACGCGTCGTTGACGACCCTACGCGTCGTTGACGCCCCTACGCGTCGTTGACGCCCCTACGCGTCGTTGACGCCCCTACGCGTCGTTTACGCCCCCACGCGTCGTTGACGCCCCTACGCGTCGTTGACGCCCATACGCGTATCTGACGCCCCTACGCGTCGTTGACGCCCCTACGCGTCGTTGACGCCCCTACGCGTCGTTGACGCCCCTACGCGTCGTTGACGCCCCTACGCGTCGTTGACGCCCCTACGCGTCGTTGACGCCCCTACGCGTCGTTGACGCCCCTACGCGTCGTTGACGCCCCTACGCGTCGTTGACGCCCCTACGCGTCGTTGACGCCCCTACGCGTCATGGACACATGTAAGAACCTATCAGAACCTATTAGTACCTATTAGAACCTATCAGAACTTATTAGAACCTATTAGAAACGATTAGAACCTATCAGAACCTATTAGAAACCTATTCAGACATATCAGAACCTATTAGAACCTATCAGAACCTATTAGAACCTATAAAACCTATCGGAACCTATTAGAACCTATCAGAACCTATTAGAACCTATCACAACCTATTAGAACCTATAAGAACCTATCAGAACCTATTAGAACCTATCAGAACCTATTAGAACCTATCAGAACCTATTAGAACCTATCAAAACCTATTAGAACCTATTAGAACCTATCAGAACTTATTAGAACCTATTAGAAACGATTAGAACCTATCAGAAACCTATTAGAACCTATCAGATCTTATTAGAACCTATTAGAAAACGATTAGAACCTATCAGAACCTATTAGAACCTATTAGAACATATCGGAACCTATTAGAACCTATCAGAACCTATTAGAACCTATCAGCATAAACCTATAAGAACCTATTAGAACCTATTAGAACCTATCACAACCTATTAGAACCTATTAGAACCTATCAGAACCTATTAGAACCTATCAGAACCTATCAAAACCTATTAGAACCTATAAGAACCTATTAGAACCTATCAGAACCTTTTAGAACCTATAAGAACCTATTAGAACCTATCAGAACCTATTAGAACCTATCATAACCTATTAGAACTTATCAGAACCTATCAGAACCTATCGGAACATGTAAGAACCTATCAGAACCTATTAGGACCTATTAGAACATATAAGAACCTATCAGAACTTATTAGAGCCTATCAGAACCTATTAGAACCTATTAGAAACGATTAGAACCTATCAGAACCTATTATAACCTATAAGAACCTATTAGAACCTTTTAGAACCTATTAGAACCTATCAGAACCTATTAGAACTATGTCAGAAACCTATCAGAAACCTATTAGAACCTATCAGAACCTATTAGAACCTATCAGAACCTATTAGAACCTATCAGAACATATCAGAACCTATTAGAACATATAAGAACCTATCAGAACCTATTAGAACCTATCAGAACCTATTAGAACATATTAGAACCTATCAGATCTTATTAGAACCTATCAGAACCTATTAGAACATATAAGAACCTATCAGAACCTATTAGAACCTATCAGAATCTATTAGAACCTATCAGAACCGATTAGAACCTATCAGAACCTATCACAGTGCGACTACTTGAAGCGGGCAAGTTACCAATCAAAAACTGTCTAGGTTTCCCGAGAGGTCCGCACTTTGTTTGTGTCTATTGTTTATATGCTTCAACGCGATTTGTCAGTTTACGAAAAAGGTCGCCATCCTTTGTTCTCAATGAACGTTTTGATTGCAATTGGTTACAAACTAGGCCACTTCGAGTAGTCGCACTGTAATGTAAGAGCAGGCGGAATTTTCTTCCTATGAAGATATTTTCTTAGTAAAATATAGGGTTTTTCCTGGGAAGAAAATGATGCAATATTTCCAGTTCACCCTCGCTTTCAGAAGAGCACTTCTCGGACATGTTATTTCTTGTATTTCGGACAAAATATCTTAGTTTGTTTCTTTGTGCTAATCGCGTTAACTTCCTTCATTTTGAAATGTTACCTCCTTTTTCGCGTTAATTTCCTTTATTCGTAAGAAATTTTCCCTACAATTCGCGTTAATTTAAGTCGCGTTAATTTCAAATACCTTAATTAACACGAGCGTTAATTTCCTATAATAAGGTAAAACGTAATCGCTAGTCAGCGGCCCATACAGGATTAGAAGTTAAATAGATAGATAGAAAACTTTATTTATGTGTCAAGCCTTATAGCCTGGGAAAGTTGCGACAGCTCACTTCGCTGGTGCTCGTTCGCTGTCGCAAAAATTACGCGTAGGTCTCTCTCATCAGAATCCATTCCACAAGTTGAAATGTTTTCAAGTCTCATGACTCAAGGGCCGAATATTTAACAAAACCGTGGCCAAACTCGAGTTTAAACTGGCCAAACACAAATAACGCCATTTACGGTAAGCCCGGTTTAGTATGTGTATAACACAGACTAAAAAAACAATTAGCTACCAAGACTGACCTGCTTATAGGTAGATTTACACCCATTTAATTCTCTTAAGCCACGGGCTAACTTAGACTTCGTTAAAGTCCTTTCATTATTTTTGAAGCAACCATGAATAGAAAGAAACATTCAGTTACCGTTGATGGAAGCTTGATGGAAGCTATTTAGTACAGTTTGTAAGGCGCATTTGGTCATAGTTAGTATAGTTTGTAAGGCGCATTTGATCATATTCATATGTTAATTTACGCCATATAAATACTAAATATTATTATTACTTTTATTATTATTTCATTTGGCGCATTATTTCTACACAGAAATAGGAACAACTACACATTTTATTATTTGAGGCCGCTTCCTGGTTAGCTCAATTGGTTGGACGCCAGACTGCAGAGTGGGAGGTCGTGGGTTCAAATCCCAGCCGGACCACAGACCAGGGTCTTAAAATAACTGTAAGATCATGCTGGCTGTGCTCAACACCTTGTTCTCAGTTCAGATGATCGCGTCATTGGGCGGCGACGTTAAGCCGTTGGCCTTGTCTCCTTCGTCCTATATGTCAATTCAAAGGGGACGTAAAAGAACCCACGACACTGTTTGAAAAGAGTAGGCCACAAAGTTCCCGGTGTCGTGGTCAAACTATGAGTGTGTTGTCCGTCTGTTGCTCGGAGATATTAGCTACATTTAGCTACTCTGTAAATCCGAGGGTAAATAAACATGATGTATGTATGTATGATGTACTAACTCTACTGAGTTGTATTGAGTATTCCACGTGGCTAATGGAAGCTAAGGTTGTTTGTTGTCACGACACTTCTTCCATAGAATCTTCGTCATCTTCACTAGATGTCACATCCGGGTCACCAGCCTGAGATTCACATTTTGGACAGCTGCAGGTGAACAGGTAGTTTTCCCTAAAAATTGACAGAGAACACAACATTTACACCATAGTTACTATCCATCCCTGCAGATGTTCTTGGAGAAGGGTTTTTTTCAGCCCGCTTCACGCACCGTTGGTTTCACTTCAGTAGTTTCAAAAAACCTCATCACGTCATACTGGGTCTTGAAGGTCTTGAATTTTGGTTTTCAAATCCAATTCAAGGACCTTCAAAGAATTTCAAGGTGCGTACGAAACCTGTTTACTGCCTGCGGTTAATATCCATTCCAGTTCATTTTAGGTTTTTCCTTTAATCAATACCTGAGTACTCGTTGTCTTGTGTGACGGCTTCTTCCTCTGTCACACTCCTCGAGGTAACAAATGACAATTTCCTGCAAATATCAATTATGGAAGGTAAGGCAAGATAAGAAGACAAGACGAATAATTACAGTGGAACTTCCATTAAGGGGACACCCTCGGGACAAGAGAAGTGTCAGCTTAATAGAGGTGTCCCTTTATGGAGGTTATTTTAATAGATACAAAGATTATATGAGCATTAATTTCGCCAGGACAAAAGTGTGTCCCCTTAAAGGAGGTGTTCCCTAAATGAAATCCCTGTTAGCTACATGTACTACAAAAACGACGACCAATGCATTTTCTGAATTCTCAATGTCAACTCAAACAACATGTGAACTTAACAAGCAACATTTTTATGAAGCAAAATAGTCATACCAAAATTATTGTACATACTAAATAAAAAGGAAACCTCAGTACCTCCCCTGGTTGAATACTATGTAGTGCTTTTAACGCCAGTGTTGAATTGTTGTAAGGAAAATTAACCTCTGCATTTGGCTCGCAACTGTGGTTACCTGTCAAAATTAAGGAATTTTGCCATTTGTGTAATTGGTGAGCTGTATTAAAAGAAAATGCAAGAACAACACCAACACCAGCATGCTAAACAAGCAATCAAAAGGAGAAAGTGATTACACTGCAGTTTCTAATGAAACTGCTGTGCTGCGTCGGCGGGCCATTTAGTTGTTTATCATCGATTGATCAACTTTGAGGTTGATAAAGGTACAATGCACATTGACCGCCGTAGCAAATTTGGAAAAGCTGACGTTTCGAGGGTTAGACCTTCATCAGAGGAAATTAGAGAGAGCTCAAGTCAAGAGGAAAATACCCTAAGGCTTTTCATACACAATTTCCCATTCTGCGTCAAAACAATAAATATTGCTATATTATGAACTATGTGGCCGATCCCACCCGTGCATGCGAGAAGAAACTCAACAGTGGTACCAAGGGTACTTGAGGAAAAGGGGGGAACCAAAGAAATACACAACTAAGCACGCCCCCCCCCCGGGGGGGGGGGGGGGTTCCCATATAAAAAAGACGGGGGTGATGGTCGGAAATTTTGAAAAGAACACTATTAAAAGGTACCAGAATCTTGTTTTGTGGGTGTGATTCAAATTAATTTTCATCCCTAAGAGGTACTAATTCTAAGACAAAACTAGTTATTGTCATATTTTACAAATTTTAACCCCTAAAAGGTACGACGATCACCCCCATCACACTTACATGGAAGTCCCCCCCCCCCCCCCCCACCCCCCCTGGGCAACCACAACTGAATTGAGCTATTATTTTACTACACAACAATTACTAATACTTACAGGAACTCTGAAGAGCATACAATCCAGAGCCTTCACAGTTAAGAAACTGGCCAGAAACTGCCACCCCCAAAATACAGAAGAAAGAACTCATCAGTGTTAAATTTACGGACCTCTACAAAGTTAAAATCTGACAATCACCGGACATCAGCAGTATCAAGAGAGGATGATCTAAGAGAAGGATTCCCCGTGCCCCATGATAATTTGTTGTAATCTATTAATAGTTTGGCACCATGCTGTGAAAGTCATTTTTATCTCCTTCTGATCGAGGCTCCGACATTACGTTACTTGAACTGACCAATCAGGTAGTCCTCTTAAAATAGCTGAGCTATGGACTGATAATTAAAAATTTATAGATTTAAAAAAAAAAAACATTGGAAGATATGCTTCTCTTAGATCATTCATATCAGCATCAAATGTGAATTTGAAGAAACTTACAGGTATAATAGTGATGAGCAATTTTTACTGACTCTACAAAGTAATGGCCCTTGAAGGAGCTACGTCATGGAAGGCGCTTTTTGAAAAAAATTGGCCAATTTTTTCAAGTTCGCCGTTCCCAATCCGTCTTAATCTTCGCCATCCTCAACCATCCTTGTTCCTGTTTGGTTTATTATTACCTCTTTGGTGTTTTTTCTACCTTAGTAAACTATTATTTTGAGGCTTTCTTCAATCTGAAGGTGATTTTGCTCTTCGCAGAAATTACATAAAATTTTGTGACATAGCCCCTTGAATTGTTGTCCAAAGGATGATTGGATAACTATTTCTATTGTATAAATCACTATCAAGTGGATAGCGTACAGTAGTTGGTTTTATAGACACTTATCCACTGGTTATAATAAGGTGCCAATGTAACACACGCTCTGATTGGTTTAAACAGCATGCTTTATGAGAGTACAAAGCATAAAGCTCACAAATGCTCACGCCATCCGCTGAGTTTGTTTTGAAAATAAAAGCAAATTTGTGAGGAAAATCATAGATTTTTTTAATCATAAAACAAAATGTGCTCTGTTTTGTTATAAAGCACTCAAGAGATGACAAGAGATGTAAACAATAGCATTAGCAAAGATCACCTTTTCTCATTCACGTAAGCCACGTCATGACTTTTCACGCGATCAGATAACTACGTACTCATGCGTAAAACACTCCATTGGCTGTAGAATTCCCAAGGGAGATTCTCAGGACCTTTTATACGCCCCTCGCATATAAATCGCTCATTTCTCGCAAGTCTACTCATCTTAACGGTTTCTACAAGTTTCCCCACCCTCCTCCCCTTCAGCGACGTTAGCAAATTCCTTGTTCTTCGGCTCACTCTACGCCTTGTCAAAAATTTTCGCCCATATCCTATCCGTCATAAGGCATAGAGTGGCTGCTGCGTGTTAATTTATTATAACTATTTGCTAAAGTTTGACAATAATTCTCACCTTTATCCATTTCTTCATAAAGCTGATCAATGAAGACATCCAAAGCTTGATGTTCATCGCTGGATATATCATCAAGGTTTTCGAGATTGTGAATGTAGATACTTAATGAACTGCAATAACAAGTATTGTTACAGTATGGTTTAGTAGAGGGATAGTGTACAATATACATGTACAAGTAATGTACAAGTTGACATTGTTGCATACCATCTACAATGTACATGCCATACTAGGTGTAGATCTGTACTGTATACATATCTTAGCATGTTCCACAAAAGTAACAACTTGAAATTATGAAGATGTAACACGTTATGTATGCCTAACAAAAATGCTTTGGGGAGCTCATGCACAATAATGATTTCTCTAAAAATAATACAAGACAAAGATAAAGTTGAAAATAACATCAATTACAATCCATCAAATATTTTTCCTGCAAGCGATTGGTCTAAACATGCCACATGGTCCAGCCAAAACAGGGAAATATATATTAATTATTACCTTGTTCCAATTCCTTGTCCATTGGTTCCAATAAGTGCCATCAACGACTGAAACCCCTCTGGTTTAAGCCACTAATAATGAAACCAAAATCTTACACAGAGAATATATAGAAGATACAGTATCTGCGCACAGGCTAAATAATAATATTATAGCCAAATAATGTAAATTATCAAATTATCTAGCGACAATAAGCCTGCAATGCATGCAAAGAGAATTAATTTAGTATCAATAGGCCCGCAATGCGTGTGAAGACCCTAGACAATTTATTTAGTATCAATAGGCCCGCAATGCGTGCAAATACGCTAGATTATCAAGTGTTAATAGGCCTGCAATGTGTGCAAAGTTGCTAGATGCTAGATAATTATACTGTCTCACATTTTAACAAAATACTGTAAGATTATGGCAGCGAGTAATAGCAGTGTACTGTGTACCTTCTCTAACTTCTCATCAAAGAGAGCATTAGACATCAACACTCTGAGCATGTCTAATTGTTCCTAACAGATAAAAAAAATCAACAATAGGTATGTAATTTAAAGTTGGCAGGTATAGGTGATTAATAATGGTTGAATACATGGGCTCATAAAAGGTTTTACTCCACGCCAGTCATAATACTACTAACATGTACATCCACTTCATGTACTACTTTTTGAGTTCAAATGATCACATAACGTTGTTACCAACAAACCTTAAACTGATCTCCTAATAGCTTGTGCACAATCTGTTGCCCTTTGTTAACCACAGAGTGACAGAAAGATTCAAACGTGTTCTGCATCTTCTGGGGATCTGATGCCTGAATGCAACAAAACGTTTCATGAAAACATTCTCTCTAATAATTATTATTGTAGGTGCATGCTTTTGTTGACTAGTCAGACTGGAAACTCTTTAGCTTGACATCATGACATACAAACTGTCCATAACAAGTCAGATCAGTTATTATACAATCACTAATAATAAGTTCATAAGTGTCTGATTTTTTTCATGTACATGTA